TGCGTCCTCGGGGTGGGAAGGAGCCTGTCCGTAAGCCGGAGAGGAAGTGGCTGATTCATCCCACTGCTCACGGCCTGCGACTGAGGCGCTGAAGGGGGTGGCTAAACCTGGGAGTTCCGCGATTGCACGTACATTCCAAGCTGCTGTGTAGCAAACCGGGCCTCTGAAGGTCACCTCTTATTCCAGCCCCACCTGATGAGTCAGGATCTCCCTGAAGACTGGGACAAGCAGCCTGTCAAAGTTCTGGTTGGGAAAAACTTTGAAGAAGTTGCCTTTGACGAGGATAAGAACGTCTTTGTGGAGTTCTGTAAGTGCCCTTGAGCAGCTGAGGCCGCGTAAGGGGCATGACGAGGGCCAGAGTACCGGGACACAGTGCCTCGGGGTGCCCCGTTGGCGAGATGTGCGCCCTGTCTGGTGGGGGGGCTGAGGGAGAGGGTGACCCGCCGTGTCCCAGTGCGAGCTGTGTCCCTGCGGTTAACAGATGCCCCCTGGTGCGGTCACTGCAAGCAGCTGGCTCCTATCTGGGACAAGCTGGGAGAGACCTACCAGGACCATGAGAACATTGTCATTGCCAAGATGGATTCGACAGCCAACGAAGTCGAGGCAGTGAAGATCCACAGCTTCCCCACGCTCAAGTTCTTCCCTGCAGGCTCCGGCAGAAACGTAAGGCGGCTGGCTGTGTACCGCTGGCAGACGAGGCAGCTTGGGAATCACTGACCGGGCGGCTCTGGACAGGCCTTGGGGAGGGCACCATTCCCTCGGGATGGAACGCAGCTACAGGACATCCGAGGCCCTCTGCGGGGCTGGGCTGTAGGAAGGAGTGTGGGGTGGGTGGGAAGCGGGAATGGGGAGAAGAGGGAGCGTAGAGGACAGTGCTCATCTGCAGGCTATTCTCTCCTCGCAGTGATCTCTGAAGTCTAGTGGCTGAGCTGTTTTCCTTCGTCTCGTGTGGGTGAAGGTGAATTTTCAAGTTCCCTTTTGCTTGGCATGTTAACTCTCACTCAGAAAGAATTCTCCTCCCCAGGGCCGAGGTTCCATGGGTGCCTGTAACCATTCTCCCGATGCCTTTTCCTCTGTAGGTGATCGACTACAATGGAGAGAGGACACTAGAAGGCTTCAAAAAATTCTTGGAGAGCGGAGGGCAGGATGGGGCAGCAGCGGATGACGTGAGTAGTAGCAATACAGTACTTGGGGGCCCTTGGAATACAGAGCACGGGTTGGATCTGGGGCTGTGCTCGAATCCTTGGTGAGATCCTGGGTGGCTGTGTGGCAGGAAGGGGTGATGTTTGGGAGCAAGAGGCAATGTTTTGGGGTGTGGGCACCCTGTCCCATGTGGCTGGGCTGGCCCTTGGCCTATAACGGACTCGTCTTCCCGAGAACGCTTCAGTTGGGGGTGAAACCAAGGTTCTTGGGAGGCTTAGACTCAAATGCACTGACACAAATCCAGTCTCTGGACCTGCACACGCTGACTGGTTGCCAGGCAACCTGCTGGAGCACTGGGAGGGCTGGTTCTGTACTGGGAACTGCTCAGCCCCTGGAACTGGAGCAGCGGGATGCTCGTTCTGTATGCGGCCTGCCTAGCCGGGAGCTCCTCACCGGCCGGGTGGAGGGTGTTGGTGGGCAGGAACCAGCTTCCAGGGGTTTCTAATCCGTCATGTCCCAAACTCGGAGCTCTTGGTAGAAGCCTCTGGGCGTTGGCTAAGGCAGCAGCAGAACTGTGAACCGATCAGAGCTGCTGCTCTGTGCCTGGTTTTGGACCTGCCTAACGTGCCAGAAACCAGCAGCCGTCTCTAACCTGAACAGGATTTGGAGGACCTGGAGACGGATGAAGAAACAGACCTTGAGGAAGGTGACGACGATGAGCAGAAAATCCAGAAGGATGAATTGTAAGGAGAAGACTGATCTGCATCACCCAAAAAATCAGACACTAAGCTGGCTGCTGTTACGCAGCCCAGTGAGTCGGGAACCCATTAAGATTTAAAGCAGAAGGTGAATGACTGGAAATCCAGGGATTGGCTTTGAGTAACGCTTTCCCCCACTTGCCTGTACACTCGACTGTTCCCTTTCCTTCGCCTCCCAGAAGGCTCTGTCTCCAGAGCCAGCCCAGCCAGCTGGGCGCCGCTTTGTTGGGATGTACCTGTTGTACACAGCCCTTGTTTGTGTTCTGTTCTTCTGGGTGGAAGCAGACGGTGGTGCGGTAGCACGAGTTCAGCGGCCCAGCCATCTGCAGCTGTGCCGCTACTATCTTCCGAGGAGGCTTTTTTTTCCCCCTTTTCCTTTAAAACTGAAGCCCTGTAGTTGATTTCTGCCCCTGGCCGGGTCCTTGGTCCCGGCTCTTCTTCCCTGGAGTCGGATCCAGCGCATGCAGGGAAGAAGCGTTAGGCTGGTGGCATCGTCCTGGCACAGGGTGTATGAAGGTGCTGCTCTCCGTGCTGGCTGGGTGTTTCCTTTTCCCTCTGCTTTAAGACACTTGGAGCTGACTATCCCAAGCACCTGGAAGGGTGGAATACTGTGCACTGGCTGTGGCAGGCTCTGAGGTGGGCTTTCGGCTGGCTCAGGTGGGCGCTGGCTGTGCTGTCACCCTCTCGATCAAACAAGACTGTTCTGCAATCGCTTCCCGTTGGAACGGGCTGACCGGGGGGCTGGGGTGGGGGGCTGATCAAACCAGACACTGCGGTGAGGGGGGGTTTTGGGGTGGAACTCGAGCAGGGGAGTGCCTCAAGGGCCTGAGCTCTCAGGCTGTTCTTAGCATTCCGCTACAGTAACATTGGAACCTGTTTCTTGGCCAAATAAAGTTGAGATTTTAATACTACTCTGCC